CATCGCGTTATATAGAATATTTAGAGTTTAGCGCAAGCTACTATTTAACTATGAATTCTTTGATCTATTTATAATCGATTTGGAATTTTTGTCCGAGAAAATTGGCATGAATTTTTGCGCGAATGTCGTAAAGAGGGGGAATTAATTATACAAGGGACAATTATCTCTGCCAAGAAAAGATCAACTGAATAAAGTATAAATTTTTTTGGAAGATTGGGCGATCTCAGTATGAGATACCTATAGGGAAATATCAAATAACCTGGCGATATATATAGAGGGTGTCCCAGAATTAGACCGACAAAATTTTAGGTTGCTATGAAGGACACCAAAACAAGCCAATTTTGCCAAATAAACCCGTATCCGCAAATGAGTCGTTTTGGCACTAGAGAAGACAATATCAAAGACTAACAAGGGAATCTTGCGAACCCAAAAATTCTGATTTTGACGAAAATTTACACACATATAGGGGAGGTAAATAAATGAATTTAGAAATTTCCAGTTGCGGCTCAAATCGCGATTGATTTGTTTTTCTCGATATATCTCGAAAATTATTCGAGATATCAAAAAATGTTTTATACAAAAGTTCCATGGTAAAAACACCTCTATTTAACCACATTAATAAAATTTTGAAAAAATAATTTTTTTCGAAGATTTTTGCCCTTTTTAGTCTTTGATTCTTTAGTGCCAAAACGGCTCATTTGTGGACACGGATTTATTGACAAAATTGGCTTATTTTGGTGTCCTTTATAAACACCTGAAGTTTGTTGATCTATTTCTAGAACACCATATATATATATATATATATATATATATATTTGTTTCCCGATATCGATGGAAGACGGATGCGGGTCGTGCCACTGTAAGAGCTAGCAACGATACGATATCAAAAACGGTTTCTGCGGTGGCCGCGAGCCAAGTATAGATTGCTAACTGTCACTGGACAATGATATACACCACGTTGAAAGGATTTCAAAGGAACGTACTCTCGATCCATACACAGCGTTATGCTGGTATCGTTGGATGGCTTCCTAAGAAATATCGTTACTGCGCCATTTGTCTTCCGATACAATATAAGATGCTTTGCAGATATTACATTGAAGATTCACCTCAATTTGGTTAATGCGTTCCTGTTTGGAAATCAATTTTTTAACGCGCCTATAAATATAGAGAAACTGTATAATGCAAAAGCTCTGTTGAATTAAAAGTTATACTTCATCTAATAGATTTTGATTTTTCACGATATGTGTATTTTAAAATAATAGCAGTTAAATTATTTCTGTCTTAAAAGTTTAATGAGATCATTTATAACTGCGCGTCATTTAACAAGCGTGCGCTTTACCACGTTAGCGAATTTTAATTTACGCCTCTTTATTATCGCACAATATTTTTACGGGCTATTTCATAATACATATAGCTTTTTCTACTTTTAATATGACTCTTCTATTATGAATAAAACATATATTTTTAGAATAGTATTAAATTCTGAATTAAATTTAATATTATTGGAAATGTTAGTTTTTTGTTTGTAATAATAATAATTTCGCTTGTATCAACAAAAAAAAAAAAAAAAAATTATTACACATTTAACGATTCTAAATAAAGTGACAATAATTTTTTCAAAATGCTATATTTGGCTTCAATTACGAACGAAATTATTGTTATTCTATACAACTACAAATGAAATACTACACTATCATCTTTTGCATGGAAAACTTAATTTATTACTTTTCTATTATGAAATAAAATTTTATTGTGAAATCAACTTTCTATTATAAAAAAAAACATATATTTAAAATAATATTAAATTGAATTGAATTTAATATTATTAAAAATGCTAGTATTTTATTTGCAGTTGTTTGTAATAATAATAATTTAAAAAAAAAAAAAAAAAAAAAAATTATTACACATTTAACGATTCTAAATAAAGTGACAATAATTTTTTCAAAATGCTATATTTGGCTTCAATTACGAACGAAATTATTGTTATTCTATACAACTACAAATGAAATACTACACTATCATCTTTTGCATGGAAAACTTAATTTATTACTTTTCTATTATGAAATAAAATTTTATTGTGAAATCAACTTTCTATTATAAAAAAAACATATATTTAAAATAATATTAAATTAAATTGAATTTAATATTATTAAAAATGCTAGTATTTTATTTGCAGTTGTTTGTAATAATAATAATTTCGCTTGTATTAACAAAAAAAAAATTATTACACATTTAACGATTCTAAATCAAGATACATATATCAGCGATTTTTTTTATCTGAAATCGAGTGACAATAATCTTTTCAAAATGCTATATCTTTTATATGGCTTCGACTACGAATGAAATTATTATTATTATGAATAAAATACTATCACCTTCTGCATGGAAAACTTAATTTATTAAAAATAGAATGTTGAGATTACAAGGGTGTTTTAGACACGGCATTGCGCTCGCTGTCGAAGAGTAAGGAGGTTAATCAATAATTCATGTTGGCGCAGTACCTTCGTTCGATTTATCTATTCCAGCGTGGAAGCGCGGTTCTCCAATTTCGCAGCGCTACGTTACACCACGTAATTACTGCCACAATTTCAATTGAACGCGGCACTTAGAGTAATTAAGAGACGAGCTTCCATCGCGCTGCTCCGCCTTTGCACACGCGGGACGAAAGGTGGTTAGTTAGAAGCTTTCTTTGTATTCTTCTTGGTGTCGACGTAAATTGTAAGAAGGACGTAAAACGTAGCCCAAGGGATCGCATGTGATCTTGTGTAAGCTTTAAAACGTCGCTTGCAACGACTACCTTGATTAATTAATCCTGGCTGGTTTCTGACATTTTCCTTTAAATTGATTCCAGGAAAGCATACTTCATTTACCCATATGTGTATAGTGATGCATTTTATTTTTATTTAAAAAAAAAAAAATAGAAATCCAGATTAAAATAAAATGACACAGAAATATATGCTAATATTATATTTAAAACTCGATCGATTCTCTGACTTTATTTGCTGGTTATTTAAAAATCTCGATATTTTTGTCATGGAAGAAAAGCGATTTGAAAAACTTGATTGAGAATTCTATTTCAGATTAATCGGGAAATTAGTCATTATAATTTAATCCATTTAAACACGTTGAATAATAGCAACCGACGAAGATAGCAAATTTAATTTATACTGATAAAAATACGCGGCTAAAAATTCATCCAGATTGTCCTCTCAGGATTAACGGGTCTACCACCGAGAGGGCTGTTAACCGCCCTGTTAACGTCAGTGTCATCGTCGGTGCAGTATCCGGCTTACGCAGATAACGCAGCATCCACCGCTCGCGGGAAAAGAGTATCTCGACTGGGACGTATCCCATGAATTAAACATCGTCCATGCCGCTGGCGCAAACGAGATTCGCAAATTCATTTCGCACTCGGCACGCGTATACACGAAAGGGATGACGCTGTACGCGCCTGATTCTCTGGGAGAGCTTATGAATTTCGAACCGAGCTTCCCGGCCTCGCGGAATTGTAATCTAATAACGTTAATTGTTTTACGTGATTTCAAAACGATATGACAGTCGGCAAACTGGATTAATCGCACCGAAAATGCGATAAATGCGACGCGCACAGTCAGCTGTTCCATCAATATACAATAATTGACATTGCTCTGGTAATCAAGGATTGAAATCATGCTGATTCGTGATTAATAGGCGTGGAAATCACGCATAGAAATTTATCGTGAAAATGATAATTTTTGCGCCGAGTTTATTACATTATCTCGTCATTCATGATTAAATTTTAACCATACAAAATTATTATTATATTAAATTATTATTATATATTTTTTCCTTATTGCCAAAATTCAAGAATAGAATCCAAATGACAGATAAATAATATTTTTTGCTAGATACGTTACTTTTACAAACTTTCTACTTTTTTTTTGCAAATATACAAATTACATTTGAATTAATTAGTTTAAAAATCTGACGTCCGGTTTTTTCTTGTTTATTGTTCGAACAATATTCTCGGGTTGTTAGATACTCATTGTCAGTCACTCGGTTTCATGGCCGAAAGAAAGCGAGCATCCGAGTATAAAATTAATTGCAGTTCGATACAAAACAATCTCAGGAATTCAATTTTCAAGAGAGAAAATTTCTTTTCTCAGGTCTAAGCATAGTTTTATCGCTATTAATGCAACAGGTGCGCGATCGGGCTTTCGCTGGGGTGACAAGAAAGAATCGGCTATATTACTCGACCATTCCAGTCGCGACGAATCGCTTTTTGCAGACAAGAAATTTATATGTGGCAAAAATTGAATATAAATGCATAGTAATATAAATATAAGTGTAAAACCCAACGGAACATAAATTAAAATTTTTGTAGATGGAGTATTTTAAAATAAGTTTTTTTTTGTGTACGTTTTCTAATGCTTTTCACTCATACAAAGGAAAAATAAACTACTTAAATTTTAAATATTATATTAAATTTAAAAATGTTTTGAAAAGAACAAAATGACTTTTGTATAAGATAAGCATTTTTCATTTGCATAATATTTTCATTTTCTATAATTAATTGTAAGCATTACAATAAAAAATGTGTATTCAGTATTATGTATTTAGTATTTTTTGCTATGACGATAAACATATAATCAAAGAAAGAAAGATATATATTTATAGCTTATTTAAAACATATAATTCGCAATCATTGGCCAATCAAATTGTTGATGCTTGCAATATAAGAACAAAATGATCAAAGAGAGAATTTTTGAAAAAATTCCCTGAGTTCGAATAAAATTCTATGAGAATTCTTTGATTTTTTAAGGTAAAAATGAAATCCCTGAGAATTACAGGTTTTCTAGGTTTTTTTAGGGAGTAGACACCATGTAATATGTTACAAAATATAGGTTTTCCAATCGGTAAAGCGCTACAATTTTACATTTTTGTAGCGTTAGTGTAAAAAACAAAAAAAAGAAAACTTACTAGCGGACAGAAACTTAAAAATTTTTTTTTTTTTCTTTCAGGACATCGAGCACGCGGACGTGCTGACGGTGGGTTTCAATGTGGACGGTGTCGAGCGTGTTCTCGACCTTCGACTGAACACCGATTTAATTCCGGTCGGCTATCAGCAACGCCACCAGCATCGCGGCACGTACAAAGTGCACACCCCGTCGAAAGTTGTAAGTACACTTGGGTACTCCCACAGTATTCACACCGTGGCATGTTAACCGCTTTTCCGCAAACAACGTCGGTTAATCGATATCGAGCGAGTGTAATTTTATCGGATACGGAGAGGACCGAGAAAGCATCTAAGATTCAGTTCACTTGAAGCCGACGCGGCCATTCACTCGCGCGATTCGTGACGTATCGAATGGCCACATAAAGAACGGCATTATCACCATTTTATGGCTTGATACGCCATGTAAAATTTACGATCGTATACAATACACGGTCGTTCATTCCGCTAAAAGAGGGATAATTGATGCGTGTAATTTTTCGCGCGTTGCCTGACGTTTTGCATAATTTTTGAAATATTATTATCGCGCTATTATTATTTTATTATTGTTTTATCTCGCATATCTTGTTTATATTTTCAAGGTCCTATATTATAGAGCGCGACAAGACGTTGTATATTAAACGTTGTGTTGCTGAGTTAATTATAAGCATAAATCAGCTGTTTAAGACTAATATCGCTATGTCATTAAAAAGAGATTTCGAGATTCGTTCATTATAATTAATGTATAATTTTTTTTATTTTATTCTTTTTTTATTTCAAATTTTTATTTTTTATTTAAATCTGTTTTTATTATACCTTACAATTACTCATTTGACAAGAGGATTAGTAATTTCGATTTTACGATGATTCTAGAAGTCGACTATAGAACCATCGATTTTACGATGCATCCATATAAGGTTCCTCCGTACAATTTAATTTTAATTTGACAGAACTTTTGTGTCATTACTATTTCCAACATTGGAAAACTTTAGACGATACTTCATTTATAATCAAGTCGACAAAAGTATGTCAGAAGAGAAATGGCGTTATTATAATAAAAACTAATTTCTGTCTCAAGCGAAAGATTACCATTCCTATTTCGGATAATTCGAATCTATCTCTGGGAAAGTTTATTTGATTCCACGCTCGGCTCGAACTTCCGGTCCCACGAAAATTAAAAATCTCTCCGCGGATGTCCGTTCCTCTCGTCGTATCTGCCTGCCGTCATCACGGATGGACTTGGCAGATAGATATAGGCACACCGTACACGTACAGGTGTAACGACTCGACCGAAATCGATCGGGGTGACTCACTCTGTCTGTCTGCATGTTTAATACAACGTCTCGTTGCAGACACATGCAAATGTGTAGCGATGTGTTGGCGGATGACGGGCGTCGCGTTATAAAACTGCGCGCGAGCGGTAGTGTTTCCGCTTTATAATTCAAGCACCGGTGGGAGAAAGGCAGGAAGGACGGAAAAAAAAAAAGGAAAAAGCATCCGAGAATACGTTAAATTGCGACATGTCCACAGAGTGAGTCGCGCAAAACGCGAAAATCGCCCTCGGAAAACTGCGCGAGCGGTAGTGTTTCCGCTTTATAATTCAAGCACCGGTGGGAGAAAGGCAGGAAGGACGGAAAAAAAAAAAAAGGAAAAAGCATCCGAGAATACGTTAAATTGCGACATGTCCACAGAGTGAGTCGCGCAAAACGCGAAAATCGCCCTCGGAAAACTCGGAAATTGTTCACGTTAATCATCCAATTCCGCTGTCTATCATAACATTTCTTTTTTTTTTTTTTTTCATAGCTATTTTAACTAGCTGTCTTATACAGTAAATAAAATAAAGCGGCAGAGATTAAAATGGGAAACGAAAAATTGAATATAAATATAGTCGGTATTATATTGTTCGCGACATGTGTTAATCGAAAAAGCAATTATGCTAAATTTCGCTTACTGAATCAGAGGCTACGAAATATCCCCGTATTTTATGAAAATTTACGGCAAGAGTTTCTGAATGTTATTCGATTAATTACAAGTTTTGGGCGAAATCGCGTGACGATTACATCATCCCGGTGAAAGCAGCAACTTTTATACGAGCACAATAATAAAATATCGATACGTTTTCCAATTTGAAATTGGAAGCATTTCTGCGACCCCGATACTATAATTATATCTCTACATTTTAATTATTATTATTATTTTTATTTATTTATTTTATTTTATTTTTTTATCCTTGCCTTGCGGTTTTGGATGGCTTCCAGTATATATTATACATACATTACATTTATTAGACAATTAGACATTTAAACATTTAGAACATTGTAAAACATTGTAACTTTAAATATAAAACATTGACATCTTGTAATTATAAAACTTTAAAACTTTAAACTTTAAACTTTAAAAATTCTAAAATTTAAAATTTACATTTTAATTATAATTGACGAAAAATAGACTGGATTTATTGAAGCATTTCTTAGTAAACTTAACGTTAGAAATTCTAATCCAAAAATTTATATACAGAACAAAATAATAGAATAAATATCATAAGACGTTTTTTAAATAGTACAAATAAAGTTAATGATATGATATAATAAGTATAAGGGAAAATTGTAGAACAAATTTAAACAATAATGACAAAATCAATAGGAGCTTTGGGTATTAAAGTAGACATGCTATAGAATATTTATATCAAATATAAATATAGTATCAGTGTGCTTAAAAGTTAAGTGTATTAGCCTTATCATCATAGCTTGAATTTGTTCTAAGATAACGAGCTAAATATTATTTCCCGCGTATTTTTTTTTATTTTTAAATAAAGTTATAATGATAAGGAAAAAATAAGAGTGATACTATTTATTTAATTATTAATAACAAAGATTAGCTTTTCTCTAATCAATTGCGATATCTCGGTAGTTGAACGATGATGGACAAGAAAAAGTTATCAATGTAGGACAAAAGTCATGCGTGAAACTCGCCATCGACAACTGTCGGAGTTCGTTGCGCTGACACCGCGACACCGTATTTACTGTTTTGCACAATTGTATTTAATTAATTGGCGGTTCCGACTCTGCCTTCCATCGTTCCGTTCTACCTCCCATTCTTCGTGATATAAATACAGTTCATCCGCGCGGATAAATTAATTTCAAGTTCGTTAAAAGAGAAAACAGAAGGATATGAAATGTGTAAAATGGAGATGCGCGATAGATGTGACTTCCATCAAAGGGAAAACGATTCGAGTCCGTTATTACGAGGATATATAGGATCCTCTTTTATCCTCTCAACGTGCGGTTCTGAAATTTACCGTCCCGGTAATAAGGACGCGGCTGTTACGAAACGTATATTTTTCTCTCCTTCGCTCAGCGCTCTCTCGTGATATAAATCTACATAATCTCCAATGCGGCGCGCACGCGATATTACATTTAATAGAAGCGAGGATAAGCTTACCGTGGGCGAATACAAAATTTCATATTCCGTCGACACGCCTCGTAACGCGCTTTCCATGGAGAACGTTACGCTCTCGCGAAATTTTTCTCTTATCCGACAATGAATCAAGCTGTATGCTTTATCCGTCCGTTATATATCAAACGGGTCCCGGTTATTATCCTTGAACGCATGTATAGGTGAAGGATGATTATGGATGTTTTGTGTTTTACATGAATTAAACGCGCACGAGATTACTCTAAATCAGTCACGTGTGCGCAAAGAATGGGGCAAGGATGTTATTTCCGGAATCCCTCGATTCGATAGGATTTTTTATCAGAAGAAGAATGCCGCAAACCACAATGCGCTACGATTCATAGCTTTCGAGATATCGATTTTTAAATGTAATTACAGCAATATTTTTACCACAATAATTGATGGTAATTTTCTGACACCATATGTATGTTTTATAAAATGTATTCTTAGTAGATTTATTTATCATTTATTTATGTGTAAAAATTGAACACTTAGGCGGGGGAGGGGCGGAGCCCTCCCCTGCACCCACACCTCGAAAAAAGACTAACCTAACCCAACCCATATACGAGAAGTGAATCTTTATTTTAAGTATTATCATTATTATTCTCACTTTACTTATTATTCTTTATATGTTTATGTACATATATGTGATCATTTGTTGCATTACGATGCAAATATTTTGAAATCTCGATATATTTTTCCAAAAAAAAATTAAAATTTGTTGCATTAAAAAATTTTGAAATCTTGATATATTTTTTCAAAAAAGAATTAAAAGTGTGTTGTATTAAAAAATTTGATGAAAAATCCTATGAAAATGACCTCTTGCCAAAAATTTTGAAATCTCGATCTATTTTTTCAAAAAAAAAATTGGAATTTCTTGTATTAAAAAATTTTGAAATCTTGATATATATATATATACAGGGTGTCCCAAAGCACCCTTGACAACGCTCGTGAGCAAGTAGAGCACAGTAAACTAAACAGGAAAGTCCTGTAACATTTTTTTTTATAATGCTTAATAAAGGAGTTATTATTGAATAACGTCTGGCCAATCAGCGTCGACCTTTAACCGCGCGTCTGGTAGTGTGCGTGAGCGTTTCGTCGCTACGGCGACGCACACTAACAGACGGGCGGCTCACTGACGTGCGTCCGGCTAAAAGTCGGCGCTGATTGACCAGACTTTATTCAATAATAACTCCTTTATTAAGCGTTATATAAAAAAAAGGTACAGGACTTTTCTGTTAAGTTTACTGTGCTCTACCTGCTCACGAGCGTTGTCAAGGATGCTTTGGGACACCCTGTATATAAATTGAAACATCGATATCTCGAAGACTATTGATCATAGCACATCGTAGTTTGCGGCATTCTTTCTTTCGGTAAAATATCTATCAAATACATGCAAATATTATTAAATTAAGGGGTGCCGGAAATAATATTCTCCCCAAGAATGGAGAGCGGTATACATTAAAAACAAACTAATCATTTAATTTGCTTAAAAAATCCATAAAATATATATTTATAAAGAATATTCGATGTGATTGGCATTTTTTTTTTAATTTTATGAAGATTTGCTGCTAGTAGTAATTCATGCAATAAATCTTTGAAATGCTTGGGTACGCGATAACATAGATCCTTGGATGCAAATAAATTCCTAGCTCCTCTCGCGTATTTGAATCTTTGCAATTTTTTTTTTATTTCATCGTTTAATATTTAAATTTCCAGAATACGGATATTTTTCTCTAATGGTAAAAGTAAATTTATTAGTGTTGAGAAATCGACTTTTTAGATAACTTTGCAATGAGAGGAACGTCTTTACAGCATTTTCACGGGATGAGTAAAACGAATGAGATACGCGAGGTGTTGTCAATAAATAAGCGTCGCGCTTGCATTAAATAATTATAGGACGATTTAACGATATCGACACGCTCTCCTATTAATTCAATCCCGTCTGTCACGGCATCTACACCTTCCTACGCGCCAATCGAATAACGGACCGTGGATCGATGGCCCTCGTAACGGAGGAAGCGTTTCAGGGACGATCCCGATACGACCACCCTCTGCGAGATCGTGCTTCTTTGTCGAAGCAACTTCTTTCGGGAAAGTAACGTGCTTGCTCTCCGAAGTAAACGGCTCTCCTCCCTCATTCCTTGCGGCGGAAAAAAAAGGAATCGAACGTGAAAAATCGCCGGGGTTTGCCAGCGGCGTGCGCACGTCCCAGAATCTGGGACAACTATATTTGTACTGTGAGCCGATGTATACGATACCGATGTGCATCCGAGAAACCGAGATAAGCCCGCGAGCTCTAACTTTGGAATATCAAGCACGGGCGTCTCGATTTCTTGATACATTATCGTGACTCACGCGCATCATGAATCGGACAAATGACACGTTAAATGATAGAATTAGATAAAAGAACAAAATCAAATTAAATGCGCAAGGCACACACATATACAGGGTGTTTCTAAATAAGTGCGAAAAATTTTAGGAGATGATTCTTTGTCGAAAATTAAAGGGGGGGTCTTTCATATAAAAACATATACTCCTATATTCCTCCCTGAGAAGTTACCAAGTCTTCCAAAGGGGAAGGTGAAAATTAAATTTTTTTTTTTTTTTTTAAATTTTGGACAAGTTGGAAAAATGAAATTTGGTGGACATTTTCCACTGGTAGAGAGAAAGGATACTTATTAATATTTTTTAAATCTTACCGTATCGTTATAAGGGGATGAAACTAACAACCCCTATTCAATTTTTTATCAGAACTTTTTAACGGACCAGAATGTGATCATCTAAAAATATGCGTTAGAAAGCTTGATTTCTTTAGAAACTTTTTTATTTTTTTTATTTTTTTTTGTAAAATCAATAGTTTTCAAAAAAAAGATAAAATACATAACTCCTTAGAGAGGAATATAGGAGTATATGTTCATATGAATGATCCACTTTAATTTTCGAAAGAATCATTTAAAATTTTTCGCACTTATTTAGAAACACCCTGTATATTTTTATTTATCTATTTATTTATGAAGAGAAGTAAAATTAAAGCATAAGTTTAATGGAAAGTTTACCTTTATGAAAAACTGCGTTTATTTTTCACTCGTGGCGATGAAATTACACGAGAACTTTTTTCAGTTTTGCGTCCCGAGTTGTTGTAGCAAGGAAAATTAAATATTTATATATATACATATATACAAAGTAAGAACTGTGAATTACGCGATGAAACCGAGAAAGAAATTTCACTCAAATGTCGATAAGATTGAGAGAAAATTGAAAAAAAAGAATCTCTTAAAACAAATGTGTATTTTAGCCAATGATATTCATGAATTTTGTGTGAATCTTGCAGGAACTCTGTCATTACCAAGGTAGCGTTCGAGATGTTCCCGGTTCGTGGGTTGCATTATCCACTTGTAGAGGATTGCGCGGTGTCATTTTCGATGGTGAGAACCTTCACCACATCCATCCGGAAGATGAGAACTTGGATTCTCCGCATTACCTCTACAAGCACAGCGATCTCATTGCCAATAATACGTGCGGTAAGTATATCTTACGCGATCAACCATTCATATTGTTATATTATTATATCGCATATAAATGTTTTTAAGGATATTTTGGCTGTACAATAGTAGCAAAAAACTGTCAAAATAAAAAAAAACATATTTCTTTGTTTATAAATAATTTCTTTGTTAAAAAGACACATTATTTTGTTTATACTGTTTGAAAAATCAGATAAATAAATCCGGATTATAAATAGAATTAAAATGTCACAAATTAATATGGTTTTTAACGTCTTCGTAAAGGAAAATAGTTATATTTAATATTTTTCCTAATTTATGACAAAAACTTTTAATCGTGAATATCCCCTAAAATCAACTGCAAGAAACAAAAAACCGAGTAATTTGCAGAAAGAGAGAGAGAGAAAGAGATAATATTTTTCTACAATTTTTAGTAAATAACTTTTAAACGAGTAAATGGATTTAAATCAAGTTTTGCACAAATATTTATTAGAATTTTCTTAATATATGTGAAAATTTTTATTTCGTTGGCAATATTTTTTTCTTGTCAAATTTGTCAATAAGTACTACAATACGCGATTTTCTATAAGAATCAATACTACCTTTAGACTTAAATAATTTCCAAACCGTTAAGAGAATTGTGCTCAGGTTTTACACAGATATTCAGGAGAAATAGTAGAACAGTCTATAAAATTTTCATGCTTTTGTCAACGTTTGACATATGACACATACATCCTTAAAAAAGTCACATGATTAATAATACATAAATATAGCGAAAAAGATAAAGATTGTGTTTGAAAGAGAGATTGATATTATTAGCGTGTCACTATCAGTATTTCTTCTCTCGACTTATAATTATTAACAGTGGAAGCGTCCACTTCTTTAAGACCGTTACCATGAAAACTCGAGATGATTACTACAATACTTCGAGGAGATACGTGACACGTGTCACATCTTACGAAGCTAACGACATTCATAATTAAGATCTCAGAGTTTCGTGACTAATAAGTTGACTCACACGACCTGACACTCCCAGATCATTCGTGTCGAGATCGTATCTGTTGTTGTCGCGAGAAACTTCGACGAGAAACTAAAGCGATTTCCACGGATTTTCCTTAAGAGTATTCACGAGCTTTGACTCTGAGAAACACAAACCTTTAGTAGCGAACTCTTGGGTTCTCATCCTCCCTCATTGTCAGCGCCCTCGCTCCTTCTTTGAGCACGGGCTCGAAGACCCGCCTCGGAAAGAGACTGGTCTCTCCTTAACGGTCTTAACGAATGTGAGAGCAAGGCCTCGAAGGCTCTTTGTCCACTGGTCCTACCGGGAATCTCGCTGCCAACGATCGTGTCTAATGTTTTTCCTCGGTTGCAGGTTACGAAGGCACGCCGCCGCATCACGTTCACCGACGCGATCATCGCGAGGTTGAAAGACTTTCCAGGGTACGTATGTGCGTAGAGAACGATGGAAAAAAAAATTTCGCGCAAACAGCTTTCCCCCCCTTCCCCCCTCAAGTAAATTACACGACTTCAAAGAATATAGTCTCGCAGAAGGAGGCTTCATATATCCTCGGTGACTTGTTTTCCTGCTCTTCCATTCTTTTCTACTTTTTGTTGGAAGATTCCTAAACAATTGGGAACGTCTGTAGGAATCACTTTGTCATATTGCATCTAGCGAAAATTGAAATAAAGTTGAATTTTTAATAATTAGTTAATTATTTAGCATCGATGATAAAAAATGCAAATGAAAATTCACTATCTCGCAGGAAATTATTAATTCTGATGAATAAAATTGATAATTAACTTTAATGATAAAATTAATGAATTTTACAATCAACATCACGTCGCTGTCCTTTTTTGTCTCGCAGCATAAAAGAGCGGCTGAAATTATTCGGGGGCCCTATAACGCGAACAGACAATCGCGTTATGTGGAGCTAGTACTTGTAATCGACAAGAAGGAGTATATGGCGCTCGACGAAAACTTGGACAAAGTACATCAGCACTGTAAGGACATCGCCAACATTATCAACGCTGTAAGTAACGTCATCATCGTCACTTAACTGGACGGTATAATTCATTTCGACCTGAATGAGAACGAGCTAAAGCGCACGGCGCTAGTTCAACAACTCCATTATCCAATTAGACGCTTTGAACATTTGCGGCTTCCTTTTCCTAAAATTCGTTAGAATATACTTGTAACCATCGGGTTTAGCAGTTTCATTCCACGAATTTTGCTTGATCTAGGTTAATTGGCTGTTATATACATAATTGTGTTCGCATGGATATTCAAGCCTTATTTTCCTCAGAAAGTAAGAACTTTACATGAATCTTGTTAATCACATGCGAGCCATTACACATTCTTTGCTGAAACTCATTATCTTTCAAAAATTGATTTATATATGTATATACAGGGTGAGTCACTAGAAATTGCCTTCTAAGATAGCTTCATAAATATTAATTTTAAACAAAAAGATTTAAGGCAAAAGTTAAATTATTTTGAAAGGGCTACATATTTTATATATTTATATTTTTTATATTTTTTATAAAAAAATTATTTAACCATAATAATAATTTCTTGTTTTTATAATCCTCTCTTTTAATTTCCCAATCAATTTGTCATAAATTTGATATTGTTGATTAATACAGGGTGTCTATCTAAAGTAGCCTTATTTTCCTCAGAAAGTAAGAACTTTACATGAATCTTGTTAATCACATGCGAGCCATTACACATTCTTTGCTGAAACTCATTATCTTTCAAAAATTGATTTATATATGTATATACAGGGTGAGTCACTAGAAATTGCCTTCTAAGATAGCTTCATAAATATTAATTTTAAACAAAAAGATTTAAGGCAAAAGTTAAATTATTTTGAAAGGGCTACATTTCGGTCGTCTTAGTTTTCATTTATTTATCTTTTTTTTTTAGATGCAGGCGTTAAAAAGTTTTAAAAGTCATCTCAAGTTTTTAAATGGGAAATCCTATTTTTAATCAGCTATAATTGTAGAGGATAAAAAAAATTAATCGAACGACATATGATGTTTTGACTGTAGAATGACCTTAAAATGACCTTGAAAAAACTTGAGATTACCTTCAAAACTTTTTGATCCCTAAAATAATTAAGACAACCAAAATGTAGCACCTTCAAGATAATTTAACTTTTGTCTAAAATCAATACTTATGAAGATATCTTCAAAAACAATTTCTACTCACCCTATATATGCATTTTTAAGATTAAATTTCTCGATAATTACAAGTTAAACTGGTAAAATAAAATTTGCTTGAAATTACCAAAAAGTTAGATTCTATTAATCGGTTTCTCTCGAAGCTTAAATATTTTTCATTTTTCCATTTTCTTTTTAATTTATCACCAATGACAGTGATGGATCTTTGTTTGATCTCTAATATATACACAACTGAGAGAGAGAAAGCGCGACACTGTATATTCCGCGGCGTGTACTCTTTGACGCAACGGAACAAAGAGATTAATTAGCGCGTTACTCAACCGTATCACGATACCGCGGAATCACCATGTAAAATACGATACAAGGGTATCTTGGTGTGTTTGCAGCTGTATATGCCGTTGAACGTATTCATCGCCCTGGTCGGCGTGCAAGTGTGGTCCGAGTCGGACGAGATAAATCTATCATCGAATGGCGACACCACTCTGTCCAATTTCCTGCGCTACCGTAGGGAGAAGCTGGTTCAGGATATACCCAACGATAACGCCCAGCTGCTGACGTGAGTGCTGCTTACAGTGCGAGATGCGTTATGTAGACTAACTGTAACGTAAAACGTAAAAACGAGCCGGACATTTTTCTTTCTCTACAATAGGCGAATCACCTTTGAAGGCGGAGTGGTAGGTAAGGCTCTTAAAGGACCGATATGCACCTACGAGTTCTCAGGCGGCGTTTCCATGGATCACTCGACCGTCGTTGGTTTAGTCGCGGCCACTGTTGCTCACGAGATGGGCCATAATTTTGGCATGGAGCACGACGGACCGGATTGCGACTGCCCTGAAGAGAAGTGCGTCATGGCTATACCTTTTTCTATTGATATTATTCTACTTGTGAATCGCTGATTCACTTCAAATCCATCCTTATTAATTATTCTGTCATTATTCCAGGTGCATAATGGCATCATCCAGCGGTTCATCCGGGCCAACACATTGGTCTACATGCTCGTTGGAACACTTGGCTATAGCCTTTGAACATGGCATGGATTATTGTTTGAGGAACAAACCGCAGAAACTCTTCGACAGTCCCATATGCGGCAACGGATTCGTCGAATCGGGCGAGCAGTGCGACTGCGGCCTGAAGGAAAATTGCGACAATCCCTGCTGCAACGTGACCACCTGCATGCTGCACAGTAACGCGAGCTGCGCCACCGGCGAGTGCTGTGACCTGAAGACTTGCAGGCCGAAGAGTGCGGGCACCGAATGTCGTAGCGCCGAGCACGAGTGCGATCTGCCGGAATATTGCACGGGTCAGAGCGAATATTGTCCAGCGGACGTGTTTAAGATGGACGGCGAAACCTGCAGCGTAGGCAAGGCTTTCTGTTATCAGGGCTCGTGTAGGACGCACGATGATCAGTGCAAACTTCTGTGGGGTCCCACCGGTTGGTCATCCGACGCGCAATGCTATGATATGAACAACCGGGGCACAAAGAACGGTAATTGCGGCTACAATCGCATCGATGCGAGCTTCATCAAGTGCAATGATCAGTAAGCTGAGGTTATATCGTATATGAGAATAATACCATGAGAGAAATTGGATTTTGATGTATCGGATCTGTTATAGAAATCTCCTCTGTGGCATGCTGCACTGTAAACATTTGAATGAAAGATTAGAATTTGGCATGGAATCGGTCGCAACCTTGAGTCACTCCTTCATCAATAATGGCGGAAAGATAATACCATGTCGTTCGGCTATAGTCGATCTCGGATTGAGCGAGGTCGATCCTGGACTCGCACCGGACGGCGCCAAGTGTGCACCTGGAAAGGTAAAATATTTCCAACGACGAAAGTTTGATTTTTTTTAGCGTGAAATAGACCAGAAGTGTAAACTGAATAGTTTGGATAATCATAATTCGCTTATATATAGATGTGCGTGAATCAAAAATGTATGTCAGTGGCGGATTTAAGAGCATCCGTATCCGGCGGTAAAGCCTGCCCAAATAATTGCAACGGTAACGGAGTGTGTAATAGCCTTGGTCATTGCCATTGTAACCGTGGTTTTCGACCACCTGACTGCCTTCATCCCGGAATCGGAGGCTCTGAAGATAGCGGTCCAGCCGAAGATCCAAACGGTAAATATCTTACCTACTTATATCTACCGTATTAATCGATAAAAAAAAAATCACATTCGTTTAGCATTTTAAATAATTTCAGTAGAAAAATAACACTTGATAATCTGAGAAAAGACATTTTAGTTTGATATATATAAAGAGATATTTTTATATAGCCCTGTGTGTACAGTAATCAGTTTCATAAAAAAATTATTTTCTGTGAAATTGACGCATTACTATCCGCATCTCGTTCTTATTAGCCCACTAAATTTAAATTTAAGTTTTAGAGTCTTATTAAATTCTCTTAGTTGATATTTTTATAGATTTACATTTTCGATTGTATAAATGTATGATATGCATTTCATGTGCTTTCAGCGCGGAACGATTTCATAACTGCACTCTATGTTATCTTCTTGGGAGTGGTACCTGCCGTAGCTCTGCTACTACTCGGAGTTTGGTACATCAGAAATTCCGCACAGCATTGGAAGAAGGACGTGATGTCTACGTATGTATCTAGTTTCAACCGTTTTAAAGAGAAACGCAAACCGCATGCTAAGTCACTCGATGTTCCTACGTCAAAGACACATTACACTGCCGGTAGTAAATATTTCGGGGTGATCTCCGCCTATTTCGTGCCGAAGCGAAAGAGTACCACCCGTAACGTGAACAAAATATTCACAATCAATGATAACGCCGCGCTCAAAGAGTCGTTACAGATAACCAAGACTGATTTGATATCCACCACAAATCCGGACGCTATCAAATGTAGCAATAATATCGAGTATAGAAAGTCACTGCTATTCGGCAATGTAAAGCCGAACATTAGCGCACAGTCCCAAGCGCAAAATAACATTGCGACTCTTTCTATACCTGCCGTTGAAATTCAGTTGAAAAAACCTACTCCGCTTAGGTCGGAATTAGGCTCCAAGATATCGGAATGTATTCAACAGATTCAGAGAAAATCACCTAAAAACGTCAAAGGACTTACGCTCAACACAGAATTCAAATTCGAACACTTGAATGAGAGTCCAGCCGGTACGTCTGATATTACTCCAAAGCCGGACGTATTATTTAATGATTCGAAGACACCTGCTCCATTTTACAATAAAAAACCACCACCCCCACCGGTACCTGCTCAAAGCTTAAAACCAAAGATCTGAGCAATTTCTGATCTGTCTTTACGAATCTAATCATGCGTAGATATTTGGCGTGAAAATTCACGTATTTTTAGAAAAATTTATTGATTTATTATTTATATAATGCATTATGATATATGAGTTTCGAATCTGTTTTAGTCTATAGTAATGGAGCTTATCTTCAGATTTCGATAGATCAGGAAAGAATCATTCCAATTAAAACACATCATTTGCACAAAAGCCTAATTAAAGACATTCAAAGATTTTATCAGTATATGAAAAGCGTGATAATAATTAAAAAAAAAGGTCAGAATCAGTTATTATCGAGTATGATATTTCTTAAATAAATATGAAATAGATAGTTAATTTAAGAACAATTTTACTCAATATAGTGCAAATATCGTAGCATTCTTGTACGATGAGTTATGATTTTTGCATTATAACATACGGGGGACTCGAAAATGGTGACGGTATATAGAAGTAATATTTGGACATTACTGTCAGAACACGCTAAAGTAATTCCTACTGTGATTCCAACTGCTGATAGTCGTAATAATATGCTCTCCAGTATATTGTTATTATATATATAGTCAAAAGTTTATAATAATATTTTTACATAAATTAGATAAAAAATGAAATTAATAGCTAAGAATAAGTGTAAATATAAATTATATTACGTTTATTTCACGCGTCTATCGTGATCAAATCTGTTCAAAACAGATTCTTTTATGTAACAAACGTAATGAGATATAATGTAAGGCCTGTAATTGATGTGTACACACTTCTTATTTAGCATTTTGAATTGAATACATTTTTAATGCAATATGCATTACTTGTGTGATCGCAAATTTAAAATGTCTAAGAACATTATTAGATGAACAGCGTTTTGTTCTCACTGACTGCTCATGTACTAAAAAAAAATTGCTGTTTAGTTTAAAAGGCTTTATTTCACTCTCTTAATTACATATTAAATATATAGAAGCGATCTAAGCAAAACTTTAATATGCATCAATATACTTTACAATATTAATATACACCTGCAACATAACTTTTATATGAGACAAATATTTATCTTTATTCTAATTTACACAATTTTTCAAACTATTAACTTTTCAATGCTACACGCATTATAATAAATGTTAAATGAGACATTCAATTTTGTAGAACAAAATACTGTTCTATTATTGAAAACCAACGAATTTTATATAGGAATTATAAAAGTAATATTTTTACATGGACATATTGCGCCATAAATGCGGAAATTGTTGAAAAGTTTGCGTAACATGTAGAGCATGTGCAGGAAATTATGTTATATGTGAGCATGGGCATGAATAAAAATTCTCTTCTTACTGGCTTTGAATTTTACGAAAATTGATAATTTATATAAATTAGAAGCTAAATTTGGAGAACGTTCAAAAGATAAGTTTTATTGATTGTTTCTCATTATGTTAACGATTACTTAAGAAGTACTTAATTTTTATTATTAAAGAATATTTTTTTATTTCTTTACTCATTTACTCATTGGATATAGAAGATAAATATTCAACGAATGTTACTCATATTTAGATAAATAAAATGTACGATTTATTATTATTAATAAATATAGTATTGATATACAGTATTTTCAGTCTTCCTCAATGATTTCCTTTTCCAACTGCTTGCTGTACTAATATCTTAATCTGTAACTAACATTTCCCTGCAATTGTTTCTTGCCTGTGCATGTGTTTGGATTTGCGGTGAATAGTTATGCATTTGAGAGAAATGCTTATACATGATTATTTTTCACACAATGCTGAACATATGCATGTGTTGGATAAAGTGTGTGTAGTATATGATAAAAAATTTAAAATTTATATATTACTTCTCATACTATTTAATATTTTAATAAACACATACACACGCACATATTTTTGTTTCATCATCAAGATTTGCATAAGGAAAACACAACACATGTGTTTTCTTCTTACATTCTAATTTATGCTGAATAGAAAAGATTCTCAGATTTATCTTACTACAAACCAATACAGCTACGCACTAAATATCACATAATTGCGCTTACAAGTTCCTCAATTCCTTCGCTTATAATTCTGCTTCAAATTTCAGGACCGATCGCGGCCACAATGGATCGCTAATCAAAACAATCGATCGTTCGAGCCCCATGTCTCGTAACATTGAGACGATTGATTCTAGCCTGAGTCAGGATCCGGCATGCGTAAGTTTGCTGCCTAAGACAGAGGCCGACGAGCGCTACACCAACAATATGTTCGGCCAGTTTAAAGGCTTCACGATCACGCCAATCCATTCAAATCAATCCAAACTGGCCGAGCCCACGAAACCGGCCCCGCCTCCGCCGCCAGGGTGGATGCCTACCGTAGCAATAAAGACGAACATAATTAAGTCGAGCATGCAAAGGTGCAATGTACCGCATAAAAGCAGTCTGTTAAGTTCTAACGTCAACGACGCGACCGCGCCGATGTTACCGCCATTAAATCCCGGATCTACGGCGCGACCATTAATCAGCAGTCCCGTATTGGCGGCCACAACCTGCACATCTGTCGAACTGGTAGCCGCCAAGTTACCCACCAGATCCGCCCCGGACGTACCCACACGTCCAGCTCCGGCACCGCCGACCAACGCTTCCACGACTCCCGCAAAACCGCAGAGACCCAACAGTACGCCGTTGACGAACGTGATATTGCCGGAACCTGAGAAGAAGCTGGATAGAGGCAGCACACTCAATCGAATCGCATCGATGTTGCGTCCTGGTTCCGGCATCATGAGAAGCAACTCCCAGAGGGACGAAAGGAACACGAATTCTCTGCCGAGGAACCAGCATCATAAGGCCAACAAGGTCATCGACAAGGAGATCCTGAGAAACTTGGAGATTTCCAATCCGATACCACAGAAGGACATCGAGATCGCCACATCGGTTATCCCGGTGACATCAGCGACCGAGGTTGAGAAGAAAAACGTGGTCCTGCGCGCTCAGTCAATGAGAGACAGCAAAATTACGCCAAAACCTCTTATCCATACATTCGGTTCGATGCGTCAGACGACGCCCGTCAAAAGACCCACCAGTATTCCTGCCAGCACGAGGCCTACGTCACCACCTCCAGGTCCGCCGAACATCGCGCAGACAGAAAAGTCTGTGGAGAGTACGATAAAGATTCCAGGACTGCCCGGTTATCAAAATCCACCCATAAAGCCATTGGAGAACGTTTACGATGACTGTATGAACTTAATCGCGGAATCTTCGTTGTCGGCCTTGACAGAGATCACGGAGGAATCGCCCACGAATGACAATATCTATGCGGTGATAGAGGAATCTGTACCAGAGAAGAACAGGAAGAACACGGAATTGGAAGCAACAATGCGAACCGATAACGAATACAAACTACCGAAACGTATTGACGCGTCGTCCACTGGTGGTATGAATGGTCTGGAATCGATGGGTCTGCTGTCGGAAATCGTATCGGAGATCTCGAATCGCAATTTCGACTCTATATATTCTACCTCGACGCTAACCAGAAAGAAGAAAGAGAAAGATAAGGAGAATGCATCAAAAAATGCGGAAAATACGGGCTCCGATAGTTCCCTGGGTAGTTATATGAATTCGAATCACTACAAAACACCCGGGAGCGTTTACTCGAACTCGACTTCCGGCAAGTTTAATTCCTCGAGCTCCACCACCAGCTCCGGTTATCTTCATCCATCCGTGATAAATGTTCCGCAAGTGGACAGAAAAGAGACAGATAAAAATATTTCGGACGCGAATGACAACTTGAAACCCATTGAGAAAAGCAAGCTAGATACCCTCAAGTCTAATAATCCTAATATAAACGACGACCTGTCCAAGGAACTCGGCATGAAACCGCCTGAAAATCCTGTAGAACACAAACCGTTCGCTCCGACCAAGATTCGACCGTCTCATTTGATACATATCAAGAAGGACGACCAAGCTGAAAGTAAGGTTCCGGTTAAGCCGCCTTTGAACAGGACTAAAACGCCACCGAACATCGCGAAAAGTCCGACTTCCAGAGAAATGACCGAGTCGAGCGTGAAACTCACGAGACAAAGTTCAGATAATACATTAAAGTCGTTGAAATCTTCGTCAAAAACGTCCGATGCGAGTTCGATAAATTCGGCGAAGCAACGTTCGGACGCGAAGCAAACGCAACTGAACGCGACCAAGTCGAATAGCGATTTAGATAAAGAGGAATCGCGTACAACCGTATCTGTCAAAAATGTGCCTTGTAGTCCTAAGGATAATCCGGGCAAGTTCAATAGCCCGGATTTGGTCTCGAGCTGCTCGAACTCGAATCAAGGCGGCACGAAATCGCCGGACGTTGTGGGCAGCAACCCCAAGTTCAGTCTCCCTTTGAAGACATCCGCTCACAAGACACCCATGCTGCCAAAAAATGGTGGACAAAAGACGCCTACGACGCCGTTGAAACCTCTAAACATTACGTCCAAAACTGGTCTCTCGGAAAGGAAGAAGTCTCCGACCGGCAACGCGGGCATAGCTAAATCATTATCGCAATCTCTCAAGGATTCGAATAATGCCAAGGTTGCGACGTCGCATTCGACTAAGGCATCCGCTAAGACGGAAACGATCAAGAGCGAGGATGGAGGAACGAAGACGAATCCGCTGCAAAAGGCGGCGAGTGGTAAATCTAACGTGGCGTCACTTCAGCAAAAGTTTGAGGCCAACAAGAACAATTCTGGTGTTATGAGAACTATATCGAGTGCGAATAATAAAAAGCCGGCGCTGGCGCGAGCAAAGTGACGGAAATGAGCGGCAACGGCGTAAAAAAAAAGAAAAAGAAAATAAGTAATCATCACGAAAGAGAAACGAAGAAAATCTATACTTGAAACATTCTAGTCCGTCATTGATTTATTCTCGTTGGAGGAGGTATATGTACACGTAAACGAATATACACGTTCACGCTGATGTAAGCATGCACGAGTATAAACGTAGATACCCGCATACATACACACACATAGGAGGGCGATATATATCTCTGTAACTTTTTAATTAAGAATCCTTAAACGGAAGTTGAAAGAAATAGTACAAGGATCGCGAATCTTTCCCTCTAAGATCCATAAAAAAAAAAACGCTGATTTTACGAGCAAATGTTATATTTCTTGTCAGGATATTGTAAAATTACGGTCGTACGTGGCCGTTACATAGGAGAGACATAGTATTGAAAATTGTAAATATAATAGCATCCACTTAAAAATTGTCAAATATTTTTTGTAGAAACTATCCCACGCATTGCCGACGTTCAAGCGTACCTACACATATAAGCCAATAATTACCGTAATATTTATCTTAAGCATTTTATAAGAAGCGATATTACGAGATAAGTGACATTATTTTCGAGACCTTCGCTTGAAAGTGGAGAAGGGCGTGTTACGAAATTAATTAATCTCTGTGATATATGTATATGTATAAAGAAATATACTGCACAGAAACACACTGTACGTCATCTTGTTACGACTAACAGGCTATAGATGCGACCAAAATTATTTTATATCATACTACACAAATGTGGAATATGACGAGAGCCCCGTGAGAGATATCCGGCGATCGGATCGAGACAAGGCAAATGAGCATGAGAGAGAGAGAGAGAGAGAAAGATGAAAGGGAGATCTTTGAAATTTCACGTAACTTATTCTTGTATTCATTTTATTAATCCACTAAAGATTGATCAATTATTAAAAGCGATGTGCGAGAATTTGTGTCCTTGACAGAATCCGATACATAACTAGATCGCAGTCATATCTGACAGACGTTATTCTGTTAATAGAAGGCCTCTTTCCAAAGATTAAGCTGTAACGAAATCTAGAATATATATATATATATATACAGACACAAAATTGTACCTTCGAGATTCTGTGAGAATCAAAATTGAAATGCCATTAATTAAGAAAGTTTAGGTGTTGGCAATCTCAATAATAACATAACACTGCGAATCAAGTAAAGTTAATATTCTTTCGATAGTAAATTAAACTGGTATCATTAAGTATTTCGTCTCAATTGCATATAGTATCACGCCTTTATTTTTTCATCGTTCTCCGCGTAAAAGAATTAGCGACAAAGGCTTGCTTCGTCTAAGGCCGCTCTCGCAAAGACTAATTATTTATTTGACTGATCCGTGTAAATATTGTTTATATAAGATAGACACATAGGGAGAGAAAGAGAGAGAGAGAGAGAGAGAGAAAGAGCTAAGTTTTATACAATGTACCTTCGGACTGGATAAGTTAAGTTGTAAGTTACCCATAACTATATTATACGTGCGATTGTGAGAAACAGCTTCGATTTCTTGAAAATATAAAAAAAAAAATGTAGATTTTATTATATTAAGAGCGTAAAAAGGTGGAAAGGTTTTATTGAATTGAGAACCGACTATATATATATGTGTATTTACTCGTTTTTTGTTTCCTTTATTGTTTCGTACAAAAATATAACAATGGATAACTTTTCATTCATAGTATTCAGTTTGTAATAGTTCCTACACGCGAGTATTCAGAAATCACATAGAATTTCGCCAAAATTCAATAAAGCTTTTTTACTCACGTATTCTGTGCATTGCTTTTCCGCTTGTTTCTCTATACGTGATGTCGTATGTATGTGTTGCTTTTCATTACGAGACAATCAAGCATTTATTTTGCATACGCGTTCGAGGATGAGACTTTTGGCTCAACAACTTGCTTGTTATTAATAAATGAATGCTATTTTAGTAAGAGTACTCTTTAAAAAGAAAATGAGAGAAAAAAAGAATTAAACGTCACACTAAACTGTGTAATTGTACAACGTGTAATTGTAATTATGATTGTATAATAAAAAATATCCGACAAATTGGCTTAAATACAACGATCGTTATCAGGCAATAAGCTTACGATGTCATATGCATGATGAAGTTACAAGATTTCATCTTACAAATAACAACAATAACAACAACAAGCATTATTGCAATACATATTGTACATTCAGTACCAAAGATAAGTAGCATCTATGACACTGCTGAGATAAGTACTATTAGAGAGAGAGAGAGAGAGAGAGAGAGAGAGAATATAAAGCAAAAAAGAAGATTTAATTTACGTAATTACTGTATTTTTGAAATTATATCTTTTTTAATCGCGTATTTTTTTCCTAATATAAGAGAAATAAATTCCGAAATTACATCATTCTCAATACTTGATATTTTCCAATATGAGCGAAAAGTCAAGAAGATTGAAAGAAAGTGTATAAAAGCGCAGAATGAGAAAAATAGAACGCGCAGAGAGAGACATACACGAAGAAAAAGGGAGATATAAAAAGAATAAAAGAAAAAAAAGCGGGTCTTTTCTCGAGAGTGCGATCTAAGATCGATCATGCGCGAGGAACGGCGACAAGTAGATGTGCGCATGCGCGGAGCGTTTGTGTGTATCGCGGTTTCGTCGATGGCCACCACCGTCAAAATTAATTTCGCGATATTTGCCGCTATTTTTTCGCCGTTTGCAACGGCGACCCCGCGTTTGACAGATCACGCGTCGTCCATTGTCGGATGAACATCGGAGCACGATTATCATCCCTTTAAGAAGACCGAAAGTATCCGGTTCATTGACGTACCGTGTATGTATCACCGAAAAAAAATTGGTTCTCCGGAAAAAAAAAGAACCGTGCACCACTGTGTGATACGAAGGATTGCACAAGCAACGCCGACAACTGCTTTATATTAAAATTCCAAATCATGCCACCGACTGTAAATCGGTCGTAGCGAGTCGCTCGCTTTTCTCTCTCGTAAGTATGAATTTAAAAATTCTATATACACAGCTGAACCACATAGCTAACGCAATCGAATAAATATGCGGGGAATCCTAGAGATATATTTTGTCTATAAATCAGACACTAACCTACAAATGATTTTTTGCCGCGCGATATATTTTTCATTCTGATACGTTCGTTTTGTTTTGTGTTTCAATAAACGAAATAGAATCACTGAAAATTTATGAAATTTGGCGTTGATCGTAAGCGAATTTTTCGAAATTATAGGAGACCCTATATTGTACGTATTGACATGGTGAAGATGGCATATGCACCACTGCCCAAGCTTGTACCCATAAATGCATCCAACATGTGTCCAAACAACATGGCGAAAATCGCTTTATCCGAAGTAAGTTACATAGTTATTGTACAAATAGAAAAGAAAATGAATAAAAAAGTATATTATATTATATGAGAGTATTTTATGTTGAATGTTAATATTTGTAGCAAAGCAATCAGTCACTTAACGTATTACACAATATTACAAAATGCAATGTTATTTGCAGGTGTTGCAATCGGATCCAGTAAAACGTCTTTTTAATCAACCAAACATTATTATTAAGACAATTCCTCTAAGTTCAGTGGCTGAGCTTGATAATGATATATTTGATAATAAGAGAAATGGCATGAACGCAACAACACTGAAACCACCTTCAATATCAATAGTTCCTGTGAGGATACCTGACGAAGAAAGAGATGATGCTAATCTTCTGCCTTCAAAAATAGAGGACAAGAAATCGGAAATTGCTCTGTTGCCTGTTAAAAAAAAATTATGTGGCCACTATGAACCATGCGAGAACATTACTTGCGATGTAATGGTACAGCAGTACGTAGATAACGACAGAGTATCACCTATGTTAGCAGTGAACATAGAAGAGGAAGAAATAAACGCGCCAGTCGGAAAGCACTGCAAAAATGAACATTGCGACGCGTTGAGTATCGATCATAATCGTTGTCGTCGAGCGAAAATAAAGTTATATAGATGCGATAAATCTCGTGTGTGCGATATTTGTGGGATAACGCTGAAAGGATGGAAATCTCGGATATATCACAGGAATTGCACAAGAAAGGACGAGTACAGACACAACAATGTAGATAGAGCGCATTTGTTAAAGGAAAGGATGCGCGAACGTGAACTGCAAATTTTAGAAATTGCGAAAATGAAGAGAAACGATTACTCGGATCCCGCAAAAGCGATAGAAACTTTGCGGAAGAATGAGGAGATAATAATCATTCCAAAAACAGCGCCTAGTCAACAACCGATTATTACCATAACTTCAGTACCCACCACTCAATCAATTGGCACTAATGTATCTAATGCTCAACCTATCAAAATTAATTCACAAGGAAATAACTTTGCGAATATTTTTGGAAATGTGCCCTTCACGATTTCATCGCAAAACACATCGCGTCCGATAGAAAGCAAAACGCAACCGATAAATCAAGCTGGATTTTCAAATTTGCAACAGAAGTCGTACGTGACATCTACTTCAACTCCTACTTCCGTTCCTGCCTCTGTTGCTACTTCTGCTCCAGCTTCATCTTCGCAGAATCAATACGTTCGTCTGGCAACTTGTTTGTCTCAAACTACTAATATTCAGCCTTTGTCGATAAACAATTGGGTCGTATCACCATCGCACGTTTTGACGACCACGCCGATTCAGGCTAAACCATTCTTGACGCCGATACGCGTGGTGCCTATAACTAACTTGATAACTGCGCCGTCATTGCTACATCGGACGCAGGGTATCCCCAAATTCTGCATCATGGCGGAAAATGTGGTAACGCAGACGACTATACCAAATCCACCACCGCTTCAGCCCGCTGCTGCAATCGCCGCTAATGCTGCTAACACTGCTACGACAACTACTGCTGTTACTACTTCTAATACTACTACTACAACACAACAAAAAGACGCTTTAAAAGTTCCGATACAGCATTATTCGATACAAAAGTTGCACAAAGGACAAAAGATCTTAAAGAGGAAGAAGACTTTTTTTTGCGATTACTGCTCGAAACATTTCAGCACCGACTGGTATTTTAAAATGCACGTCGCGAAGCATAAGGGTGTAAAACTCTTCTTCTGTAATCTTTGTGACGAATCTTTTAGCAATAAGTATGATATGAAGAAACATATGACTAAACAACACAATAGTCAAAAGGATATGTTTACGACGCATCGGTCAAAAGAATTTGCTTGCGATAAATGTGATTATGCTTGTAAATCGTTCACTTTCTTCAAAAATCATATTAAAACACACGCGACATTGAATTCTGATAAAGCAGATATCAAAGTGAGAAGACAGAAATTAAAATTTTCAGAAGAAAAAATAAATCACACAACATCAATACATGATTCAAACAGAAAGGATACGAAGGAAATAAATTGCCAGGATACACCCAGTAACCTGGACAAGAATAAAGTAATTTCTGTTGTTGAAACAACGACACAAGATAATGTCAAGATTTTTCAAAATATAACCGACAAAAACGACGACGACATAGACTTATCGATGATTAATGAAAACAATAGTGCAAAGATGAATGGGTTTACCCTCGTTTCCATAGAAGGAAGTCTTGATCCCAAGAATTACAAGCCAGAATCTATTATCACGTCGTGATAAAAAATTCGTGCAATATATTTTATTTATAAAAAATACGAATTAGACGGTATTTTTCCAAGTGTTGTTTGATACAAAAAGCTTGGAAGAATGGAAATATATGTGGAAAAGAGTATCGGAGGAAGTATCCTATTGATAACCAAAAAGCGTTAAATATAAATATTGGTATGTGTTTTGTACAATGCATGAGCAAGGTATACTTACATTAGAATTAATTTATAATATTGTATTCTCTGATGTAAGTAAGAGTACTGACAGTGCTCTTCATGATAGTTGTGTAGCTTAATGATGTGGAACACTGTGATATGAATCTCTTTCAACACAAAGGATTCTTATTTACGCAATCGCACTTTAAATCGTGTAAATAAAAACCGCGACGAATAAAAACTGCCCATATTCTTTTCCGCGTGGAAAAAGAAAACGTTTATAGAGAGAGTAATATTTTAAATTTTATTTATTTATACATGATAATTTAACATAATGATTTTAGTAAAATTTTTAATATGTTGATTGTCAGGGCCACCAGTTGATGCTAGTAATTTTTTTCTTTACATTCCTGCATTAAATATAAGATAAATCACAGATTTTTTTTACATACACAGCATACACACACACACACACACACACATATGTATATGTGTATATATACATGTATATATAATACTACTATTTTATTTTTTTGCCTCAAGTGTTAAAATATAAGATTTTGTTATTTTCTACTTTGAATAAATATGTAATTTTATTTTATAATCACAAATACTGTTAAATCTTTTTTAAAGCAGAAATCAAAAAATACAGAAAAAATATAGATTCTAAAAAAAATCATTTCATATTTGATCCATTTTAATTGTATATAATTAAAAATTTTTATTTCTCTTATAATTTATTTTTTCTTGAATCAATATTTTATAGATTTGTTTAATGCTTTTTTTTTTACTAATTTTGTATCATAAGAAAGTGTAAGTTGTACAATTTGTTGACAATTGTAAAGCACCTTATTATTATTATTAATTATTAATAATTATTTAATATATAATATTTATGATATGAGTTATTATATACATATAACAAATAGTAGTATTATATATATGTATGTATTTAGTTTTATATATATTTATTAATATTAAATATATATATATGTATATATATCTAATATTAATAAATTAATAAAACTAAATTGTAATATATAAATGACTGTGTGTGAGCGCACACTATCTCTATTTATTATAAACTGACACGTCATTGACACATATGTCGATGCACAATGTAATAATGTTTATGTACATAAAAAATATTTTAGTTTAAGATAGAAGAATATAAAATTGGCTTTATTCTTGAATATAGTCAATTAATTATCGCAGATATAGATTAAAAATTACATCCTGCTACATATTGTGTAAAGACCCGTCCCCTCATTATTAATTAATTGACATAAATTTATAGATGTCAAATCAAATTAATAAAGAAAGGCCAATTTGAACCAAATTTGGCTCGAATTGGCCATTCTTTACTAATTTAATTGACATGATATAAGTTATATAACACAATAAAATGTAATACAAGTATATTTTTTTGTATTGCATTTTATTTCTATTCAAAGAAGCGTATAAAATAAAAAAATAGAAGCTACGTTTTTATTTATTTATGATGTGATATAGATTTATTATTTCATTGTTTCCTTCTTTAAAAGCAATATCTAAATACCACTCCTTTTTTTTAAAATAAGCCATAAATATAAAATGTTGCAGTATCAGAACACATAAGATGACAATCTTATTTTCTAAAATTTATTATATGCACACTTTATATGTTTAATAATAATTTTTTTTGTTTTATAATACAGTTGATATTATAAGAGCAGAACAGTACAAATATATGAAACAATGGAATATTTTTAACAATAAGTTTGTGTGTATATTGTGCACGCATTGTGGAGTATTGACTATTTAATATTCATTCTGCTCTGTCTGGCTAGAATGTAAAATAGAGAGAGAGAGAGAGAGAGAGAGAGAGAGAGAAAGATAATGTCATAAAGTATTTTATTATACGATGTCATACCTACAATTTGTTGAGGATAAATAATGTTCCTGAATATGAAAGATGAAATGTTGAGTGCCTTGTAAATTTGAAATATTTCTTCTAATATAGTCATATTTATTTTTTATAGACTTATAAGTGACTTGTCTCTGCAGAAATAAATCTATTTGACCATGTTCTACACTTTCTATATATTTCTCTAGCTAATAAACATATGTTCAAGCTGTAAATACAAATCTTACTTGATATATGTCTCTCTATTGTTAGATAGTTTGAGTCTTGAATTAGCAGATATAGAATCTATATGTATCTTGCACATAGGGCGCACATGTTCATAAAGAGTATGCTTTGTAATATTGTGGATCTAAGATTGCAAAATGAAGTATAACATGCAACAAAATTGTTACATTGCTCTAATAGTATATAAATATTGTTTCATGCTTTGTATATTGAAGATATCTATCTTATTCATGCGTTTTCATAATCTGTTTTGTATTATTGCAATATAAAAATATAAAGCTTGCAATAAAAATATATAAAATAGCTAATATATAATGAAGCTGTAAAATAAATCACAAGTATTGCTAATTATCCCAAGAACTATCTGTTAAATGTTAAATATTGCATGAGGAAATAAATTAGTTGACAATTTATAAATATGTTAATTATATTCTCTATTACTTCAGTTTACAACTGAAAATTTTAATAAAATAGGTTTGTTTATTTATTTACTTTCTATTTACTAGAGGATATAATATAGCTTAAATACTGATAATTTTCTATATTTCTTTCTTTTTAGCGATATTTGTAATAAAAATTTACTAGTTAATCATATATTTCTATTTTAGATGTAAATCGTATATCTTTTAATAATGGTTTATAGATGCACAAAAATTTTAATCTAAATTATTTGTTACAGAAAAAAAGGAATTCCAGATATCTACATATTTTTACAAAAATTTGATTATTTATTCAGAGATATACATATTAAAAATGTAGATAAAATTCTAGTAGCATGAATCATATTCGATCTAAAGCTTCTAACATTATGACGCTGTTGCCACGAATTACCTAGAACAATATATAACTTGTCTTAAGAAAATTTTTCATTGATTCTAAGTGATAATATTAAATTTGTAGAATATGAAACTTTTATATCTACTTTTTATAAAATTATAATCTATAACTTACCACCATCCCAATATTGTTTTTAGTACCATCTTTGCATTCCTCTATACTTTCATCTATAACCATATTCATGAATGGATCGAAGCCTCTTAGTATACCAATGACATGTCGACCTCCATTCAATTTTACTGAAAGATATTTCCAATAAAATGACAATAAAAGTAAAATATATTTGGTAATATAAAGATGTATTTATATATGGTCTTCTACATATATAAATGTCTCTTAAATATTATATGAGAAAACTGGTAGAACTGTAAAACACAGTTTTTCTTAAATTTCAACAATATATAATTAAAAATGCGTGCATTTTTTTTTTTTTTTTTTTTAAGAAGTCAGAAGCTTGCCTCTGAAATATACCCAATTTTCCTCAAAAAAATATTTTATATATATCAAATATATAATATTATATTTCATAAAAATTTCGAAATGATGTACAAGTAGATCCATGTAACGAGGCTTATATCTGGTTCTTTAATCTAACCTAATATTTTTCTTAGGTATAGAATTTGAATTTTATTAGCGTTTTTGTAACTTACGAGATAGCCTTTTATCCATATACCTGGAAGAAGAGATATAAAATTATTATTAATAAATAATGCATGTAAAATGCCATATACTCTGTTGAATGATTGAACAATAATGATGAGGATTAAATAATAGTAAGACATTGTGCGTGTATAAAATCGCGAAAAATTACTTACTTTTTCAATTCGGGCGGATGTGCCTTGCTCATTTTGATGACAGCTGACTTACAGTTTACTTAGGCAAATTATACTTTGCACATTTATATGATATAAACTTATATTGCCGGTGATTGCCGGTTGAACGTGTTATTACGCGTCTGATTGACGTTCTTTCTCTTACTATCCTCGATAAATAAGAGAAAGAGAGCCAGTACTTGACCAGAGAGAAGCCTGAGAGGGGCCGCCATTTCTCATAAGACGCTTTTTCTAGCTGGTACAGTAGCGTCTTCTAGATTCATTTTAAAACTGGAGGAATTACACGGCCATAATCACTTTTTGCTGCCACGGTAAAACAGCCGGTTATTGCATGTCCATGCTAGATCCATAATTGTGGATCAAAATTGCGGAGAAATATTATTTTATTATAATGTAGAGATTAAAAGAATAATAAAAAAACAGAAACTTTGGGTAAAAAAACTACTTTTTATTCCCCCAAAAATAGGTTTCTTACCCCATAAATAACTCAGAATGTCCATTTTCAAAAATTTATAGCAGAAATCTAATTTTGATGCTTATATTTATTAATCTTTAATACACGGCTTTGAAAAATAAGCATCAAAATTTAATTTACTAAAATTATAGGTATCAGATTTCATGTTCTGTGTTATTTTCACTTCTAGTTCACAAAATAACAAAAATAACAACAGTTTAACTATGCTTGAGAGAGTTTTCTTCTAACTTTTATGAAACTTTAAAAATAAAGAACATCAAAAAATATCATTGAATCATAAAAATTAAATTTTAAAATATTCGAACTCAACTAATTAACAATGCGAAGTAATAATCAGTTTAATCCATTAAAATTGATTACTAATCCAGTAAACAAAATTAATTTTATTCCCATACCATCTTTTATTTGAAGAAAATTGGCACTATCTTTCAAATATTTTATCTCATTAATTTCTCAGAATATCCATTTTCAAAAATTTATAGCAAAAATCTAATTTTGATGCTTATTTATTAACATTTGATGTACGGTTTTCAAAAATGAGCATCAAATTTACTAAAATTAAGTATCAGATTCTATGTCCTGTGTTATTCTCACTTTTAATCCACAAAATAACAAAAATAACAACAGTTTAACTATGCTTGAGAGAGTTTTTTTCTAACTTTTATGAAACTTTAAAAATAAAAAACATGAAAAAATATCATTGAATCATAAAAATTAAATTTTAAAATATTCGAACTCAACTAATTAACAATGCGAAGTAATAATCAGTTTAATCCATTAAAATTGATTACTAATCCAGTAAACAAAATTAATTTTATTCCCATACCATCTTTTATTTGAAGCAAATTGGCACTATCTTTCAAAATTACCAAAAAAATAGTTTTTTACCCAAAAATACCGTTTCTTACCGACGTTTTTATTTGTTTTTTACTTAATTTCTTGCCCCATTTTTTAAATCCCTATTATAATGTATTATTAGCTACACTTGATGTTATGCCATTCTAGTAATACTACGGACAGCGATAATAACTTTTATTATTGAAGCATTTTTATGTATATGCGTATGTGAAATGAAATAAATTTTCTTAAATTCACTTTCTTAATAATATTTTCTTTAATTTTTATTTACAATAAATTTCTTTCACTTTTTTCTTATTCTTGGAATAAAAAATATGTTTTGTTTAAGCATTCAAGTAAGAGAAAATATAGGAATATAAAACAGGGTGCTAATATAATATGAAAGACATTATTTCTAAAACAACTATAATAATCTATCGATAATTATAGTAATCAGAACGATTAAGTTCCGTTTCGGTTAATCGAAAGTGCTAGCATCACGTTGTTTAGAACAAATTGTGATGAACAAGTATTGTGATTTAAAATCATCAAAATTTCTCGTAAAGTAAAATTAAAAAATGTCTTTCTTATCTTTATCAACAAATCTAATATTAAGATTAAACTTGAAAATGGCAGAATATTAATTATTTAAAATTATTTTTTCTATGTTTAAGCTTTTCATTGCATCGTTTGGAAAATAACGTCATTAATTAATTTTATTTTATCGGCTAGATAATATCCACTGGACTCAGTAAGGTATCTTCCATATTATTTCTTAGAGCTATAATATTTTTGAGACAAAGGTTGAAGTTCGGTCTATCATGCGTGGACTCCAGCAACGTAGCATCAACTCGTACAAGGTTGGTGGACAATTGAGAGGCATCGTTAATTTGCCTCCAGCGCGTACATAATCTATTACTTCCAGATTAGTCCTGCCAGTGTAGGGATGCTCACCCAACGATGTAATTTCCCATATTAGAACCCCGAATGACCAAACGTCGCTCTGACAAGTAAATATTCCGACCACCAAAGATTCCGGTGCCATCCAGCGAACAGGAAGAAAAGCTTGTCCTTTCTAAAACATGTGATTTTAACGAAATTAATACTTCTGGTTCAAGTTGCCCATTTTTAGGGCCCGAGCACAGACTTTTGCATAAGCGCATAACCATAAGCATAAGGAAATTGATTGGTTCATTTCCTTATGCACATGCTTATGGACCAATCAATTTCCTTATGCTTATGGTTATGCGCTTATGCAAAAGTCTGTGCTCGGGCCCTTAGAATTTTTGTGCTAAAACAAAATACGTTTACTTATCTCTCGCTTTATATAAATAGAAATAATTTATTTTTCTTAAGTTCTATTCAAAATAAAACTATATTATATCATTTTGACAAAAAAAGAAAACACAAACATTTCTAAAAAATTTCATTTTTTTGTAATAATTGTATTTACCTTGCGGTAATAGTCATCCTTGTAAACATCCCTAGCTAGTCCAAAATCGCCAATTTTAATGACACGGTTCTCGCGATCTCTCGCGGATACTAAGCAATTTCGACACGCGAGATCTCTATGAACGAAACGCAGATTTTCCAGGTAGCTACAACCTCGCGCAACACCTTCGCACATAGCGAACAAATCTTGCAGACGCAGAGCGTGCGAATCTGACGGTTGCAATTTTCGACTATCTCTCAAATATTGTAATAAATCACCAACAGGACTGTGGATAATGACGAGAATGATCTCGGGGAAGAAGGCGGTTCGGGGGAATAAACTGGGGCAGTGCTCGGAGATAGTTGCCCTTTTCGGGCCGATTTCGTGGCTCACGCCTATTGCCCTCCACTCACCGCTCGTGCGTTAGCGACGAGTCGCCAGATACGCGTAACTAAGGAGCGCGACGTTTTGTCTCAGGAGCGTCCGTATATAAGAATGTCCAAATATAATAGTAAGACAATACTTTTCTAAATGCACGGCGAAAATTCTCAAAATTAGAAGTTTTTCTTCAATATTTTATATTTCATTGATATAAAATATTGAAGAAAAACTTTTATTTATAGAAAAGTATTGTCTTATTATTATATTTGGGCATTCTTATATACGGACGCTCCTGAGACAAAACGTCGCGCTCCTTAGTTACGCGTATCTGGCGACTCGTCGCTAACGCACGAGCGGTGAGTGGGGGGCAATAGGCGTGAGCCACGGAATCGGCCCGAAAAGGGCAACTATCTCCGAGCACTGGTCTAAGCAGACGGCAAGCAATCTTAGCACATGTTTGTGTCGGAAGTGATTCATAAGCCTGGCCTCTTCTAAAAACTTCTTTTTCTCTTGCGAGGAAGCATTTTCTCGAGGCATTTTTATGGCAGCGGGTATCTCTATGCCCGGTCTTTCTAAATTCTTTACTGTTCCTCGAAACACCTGCGAAATATTTGAAATAAATTTAGATTTATGCTTTATTAAAAAATATATAGCTTAATATCAAGTCACATTATATATTTTATTTTGTATTAAATATGTCGACTAAATAAGTCGATCAAATATAAATGAGACTTTTCGAATAGGAGTAGGATACCTTAACGCTCGTTGTTGTGACAATAGGTAAAGGCTGTTGGTAGACATGTTTAAACTCGCTCTAAACTGCGCGTTTGTTTCTATAATCGTTTGTTTAACAGTAAGCACGATGAATAAACACAAGATGCCTGTTTCGGTTGCGCAACGCATAATTATTAAATTTTTGATGCACGAACATGTTAAACCAGCTGAAATTTTATGCAGATTACGCGTAAGTTCGGTAAGAACACATTATCGAAGTTCCAAGTATGCAAATTGCATAAGTTATTTTTGTGGAGCTTGTAAAGAAGTTGCAAATTTGACTCATGCGCATCGACCAAAGACGAATATTACGCCTGAAAACATTCAACAAATTCACGACCTTATTGAAGACGACCGATTAATAATTGTTTGTGAAATTAGTAAAGGGACTGGCATAAGTTATGGAAATGTGCAAACAATCATTGAGAATGAGTTACGATTTTGAAAAATCACTGCACGATGGATGTCTCGAATTTTGAATGCAGATCAAAAGACTGAAGGGCTGAAATTTCTCAGAGACTTTTGGATCGCCATACAGCAGGAGACGCATTTTTGATGCGCATTCTCATATATGATGGATTTGTTTGGACCTCTTAAAGAAGTCGTATGAGGAGAAAAGTTTTCCAACGACGATGAGATGAAAGACTTCGTGCAAAATTGGCTTCGTACTCGACCTACTACTTTTTATAAAACAGAGATAGAAAAACTACCAGTGCGATGACAAAAATGTGTAAATATTAGTGGGTACAATGTAGAAAAATAATTTTCGGTTAGTTTTTAATTGTATTAATCAAATAAATATTTTTTGAACAATTCTCGTTTATATATGATTTACCCTAGTAATTTAACGAAAAATGCATAGTACAGTGCACATGTATGTTATTTCACAAAAATTTTGTGTTAATTATAATCTCATATAAAAAGTTAATCATATAATTATTTTTATCGAGAAATACGTATCTGTCTCAATTTCTGTAGATGTAGAAATTAGCGTATAACAATGAAAAAATTAGTTTTTACCTTTCCGAATGCGCCACTGCCTAAAAGTTTTCCTAATTTGATTTCCTCACGTTTAATTTTGATTAGTACATATTCATCCGAATTATATTGCAACATAGGACTGTATAACGTATTGAATTGAATATTACCGTTCGGTATCTCATGTAGAATCGCTAATTCGATGTCAGTCATTATCGGAGGCAAAACTTGCTCGTTACTTTTTTTGCGTTGAAGGTACACTGTTATAAAATTGCAATATACTTATTTAATAGTATACATTGCAAAATTTACATCGCCTTTCCAACAAGTAAATTA